GACGCGTCGACGATGAGGTCGACGGCCTTCAGGCCGCGCTCCTCCAGTCCAAGCTGCGTCTGCATCTGCTTCGCGTTGCGCCTCGAGTACTCGATGCGCGACTCGCCCTCCTGGAACTGCGGGGGGAGGTACGTGTCCGTCGCCGCGTACGACTTGGCGAACTCGAGGCGGGAGGGCACGATGTCGACCGCGATGACGCGCGCAGCGCCAAGGGCGCGTGCGACGGCCATGCAGAGGAGGCCGACGGGTCCGGCGCCGAAAACGACCACAGTCTCGGCGGGCTTGAGGCCGGCGACGTTCGCCACAGAGTGGATCGCGACCGAAAGAGGCTCCATCTGAGATGTGAGAGCGTGTACGAGCAGTTAGCACATGAAGATCAACGAGGAGAGGGTGCGTTCATTCAACTGACCATGGCACCATCCTCGAGAGTGAGGTTGTCCGGCAGCTTGTAGCAAAGATCGGCGGGTATGGGGTAGTACCGCGCGAGGGTACCGTCATAAGGGGGCGTCGCCGCGAAGATGATGTCTGGGCAGAGCTAAGCGTCGTTTGTCAGCTCTCCGTAGCGACATATTGCGTCTCATGAGAGCACACCTCGTAGCGGCCACGCTTGCAGGCATCGCACTTGCGGCACGTAGCACCAGGCTCCATTGCGACGCGGTCCCCGGGCTTGAGGTCAGTGACCTTGCTACCAACTGAACGCGCATCAGGCGATTGGCACACAAAGTCGACCGAGAAGTCATGATGGCATACCTTTGTGCACGACACCAGCAGATTCGTGACCCAGAACCTACACAAGACTTTAGTTGTTGAAAGCAAGTTCAGAAATTGAAGACGCACCATGGGGTTCTCGACGATGAAGTCGCCGATGCGGCCATGGACAAGGTAGTGGACATCGGAACCACAGATACCTTTGTACCACGATTAGCAGATGACTGCGATCGCGACGGATGGCATGGACGTACCAGTCTTCTTCACGGCAACGAGAACCTCATCGTCCTTGACTTCGTGAAGGCGTGAGCGCTAGGATCTACGTCATACATCACGAAATGGCCTACTATCGGGGATGGGTCTCTCCTCGTAGACGACCTCCTCAACCTTCTTGAGCACAAACGACGGGTTGTTAGACATGGCTGCAGAAGCAGGCGGGGAAGAAGGAGGATTCTCGGTAGACAAGGGTGGTGTGGGCCATTATCCCGCGGGGGTATTTGTGGAAAGAGCGGGCTCCCCGGACCGGGAGCGGGGAACATCTGGACTTGGCTCATATGACTGGGGTGAAAGGGGCGGAAGAACGATGGAAGTCGTCGATAGCGATAGTGAGCGACGGATGTACTATTGCGCTCTGCGCTGGCCGCTACTCCGGTGGGCAGACGACACAAGTGAACAAGTCTGCGTACCAGACCATAGCGTCGTCCTCCGGGAATACGAGCCGCTGCCTACCAAACCTGGTCACGGACTTGCCTTCCGAGGACTCGAGAATCTACAGCACATTTTGCCTCATGCAAAAGAGAGCCAAGTACTGAGCATCGTGAAATCGCCGATGGAAGAAAAGACGTCCTCCACAGGCTATATCCACGCCAAACGAACGTGCGCGTACGACACGTTCCTGTAAAAGCGACAGCGCACAAAACGGCACGGCAACATGTATACTCTCTCAGCATCCTGTCTCGCTTTCTTCGCCTCCAGAACGCATCTCGTCCACGAATTCGTACAGTAGTGATAATATAATGAACATCGACGGGGACAAGCCTGAGATTGGCACTAACCATAGGTGCATTCTAAACAGCTATCGAGCCACCGGTGTACATGGACGACGCATTTTCTCACAAGAACCGCAGGATTGTGAGAAACTTGATCATCTGCTTGAGCTGTAGGTGTCGGTCGTGGGCGCGTTTCAGAATGTTCGAGCTCCGGCGACAAGCTTCATGCAGGCTTCTTCCTCCTAAGGCATCTCTCGCTCTTTGTTCGGTTGGACTCGGCGTCTTCGCAGAGGGCGCATTATGGGCGAAGGCGTACGTCGCACGTATTCTTGATCGGGCACCATCCAAGCCTTTTATGAGAATGTCACGAGTCCAGAGTCACCTATAGCAGATTGGCAGGGTCGACGTCGGGCCCGGAGATGACCGCCTTAATGACCGGCTTGCCGTCGGGGCTCTTGCCCGCCCGTGTTGCCTGAAAAGCTTCGGCAGCCTGGTCAAACGAGTAGCGGTGAGTGACAAGGGGCTTGAGGTCGATGCGGCCCTGCGAGACGAGGGCGATGGCGAGCTGGTAGTCACCGGGCTGGTGGGAGGAATAAGAAGCAAGATCAGAGGGCGCGGAAAAGTAATACGGGACGAGGGAAATCGCTTACTCCGTAGCGGAACGAGCCCCTGAAGTCGATCTCCTTAACGAGCAGCGTCGTGATTGGGATCTGAACTTCCGGAGTACCCATCCCGACCTATACAAGCACACGACGACCGGAAATTAGCAACTGGTCCGAGCAACCGAAGAACAGTCTCAAGGAAGGAACTTTTAGCGCACCTGGACGAACCGCCCGCCGTGCTTGGCGACGTAGATACCCGTCTGGATGGACACCTCCGCGCCCGACGCGTCGACGATGAGGTCGACGGCCTTCAGGCCGCGCTCCTCCAGTCCAAGCTGCGTCTGCATCTGCTTCGCGTTGCGCCTCGAGTACTCGATGCGCGACTCGCCCTCCTGGAACTGCGGGGGGAGGTACGTGTCCGTCGCCGCGTACGACTTGGCGAACTCGAGGCGGGAGGGCACGATGTCGACCGCGATGACGCGCGCAGCGCCAAGGGCGCGTGCGACGGCCATGCAGA